TTCTCTTCTGGATGGTTAACAACCTAAGTTTGCAGACCAAAATTAGAGAAAAAGGAGGGCTGCAAGGAAAGCCAACATTTTGACCCTAGCCTTCCAAGGTCAATTAAGACTCAGGACATATGAGAACTGTACTATAATGTCATGTAACTCGGTAGTTTCCCAAATTTTCTGATCAAGGAAATTATGGGAACAAAGAGGAAAGTGATTGATGATGTAGAGTGTGCCTAAGGAGAGTCACATGGAGAGAAAACATCCTCTCAGGATTTCACAGAGAGCACATTGGCCAAGCAATGGCCGTGACTCATCCACATGGCTGACACTGACAAAGGTTCTACAATCTGAGGTACAGGATCTCAGGGTAAGTCCTGAGGGGATTTCACTGACCTTATCAGACCCAAAAGCTACAACTTTTGTGGCATAGGTCCTGCTTCACTTTGGTCTTAACCATCCAGCAGAAAAGTATAAAAACAAAATATAAGAAGTAAAACCATGCTGTTATGTTGAGCTGTAGGAGACTCAGGTCAACAACTTCTGACATTGCCAGTCAAGCGTAAGACCCAATAGTATTATGGGCTACTGGACTCTTTTAGAATATTTTTCTGAGTTTACACACCTATAATATTCAAATAACTGAAGTTAACAAAAAAAGAGGATACCAATGAATGTCCATTTTGTATCTGTTTATTCAAAATGGTTAGGATTGATATATAGTTACATTGTCTTAATGAATAGGGTGATTTGTTCTAATGGTGTTTGTGAATAGCATATCATGTCTGCATCTTGTACAGCAATTAACCACTAGGAAGAATGTATGCAATTTTTTAATTATTGAAACTGTCCTTCCAATTTGATTTGAAACTGTCTCATTGCTGTTTGTTTCTCAATAAAATTATGGAAAAAGAAGAGACTAAGAGAGGCCTGAAGTTCTGATTACTTTATTATTTTGCAGGAACACTTTCAAGGACCCAAGAGACCTGCTAGTGTTTTTGGCTCTCTTTTGTGCTCTTCTATGAGCAATTTTGTCACAAGTACAAGGAACTCCTGAAAGGTAACAGCACCATCTTCATTGACATCCAACAGTTTGAACCAGTCATCTGCACTCCTTTTCTGTGAAGGGTGAAAGGGGAGAAAGCCAGAGATAAAGATCTAAAGAAAGGTGAAGTATGGTTGTCTGCAGAGGATCACACAGAAAACCAATGTCCTGGGCATCATCAGAGCCAGATGGAGAGCCCCCTCTGCACACAGCCCCTCCTCACCTTTGTGTACTGAGGACACTCATTAGTTAGCAGTCTCTTCAGGTCACCTCTGTAGAGGACATCATAATGCCCTACCCCAATGGAGTACTTGTGGTACACATTGATAATATCCTCCAAGGCTGTCTCCAGTTCAGTCATCATAGTGCACAAGGGCTTGTGCACCTAAAAGTGGAAGGAATATGGGATGTCTTGAGGTGGGTACAGCCGTGAGCATTGCCATTCACAGGACTCAGACTCCAAATAATAGCTTTGACCTGTCCTGCTCCACCCAAATAACTAACACCAACAGACAGGTGCATCTTTAACAGATGGTATAGATACAGATCTCGGAGAGGGTGCAACACACACACACACACACACACACACACACACACACACACAGAGTGTCACTAACTCTCCCTAAGGCCCCACTCCCTGCCCAAGGAAGGCCCAGCCTGGCAAGTAACTGTGCCCTTGCCCAATGGACAGTACTAGGAAATTTCGCTCATCCCATAGCCCTGCCTGGCTCTCACCCCTCAGGGCCCTCTAGACCTTTCTCTTCACTCTGACCAAGGAAGCTCCTCCATTCCTCCTGTCCCTCCTGAAAGGAAGCCCAAAGTGCGGGGAAGGTCCGGACAGTCCTACTTACCAGCTCTGTTCAAAGCACAGTTGACAAGGAACATACAGAGCTGAGTGTCGGCTCCTCTTTATAGCAGGTAGGTGGGGCTGCCCTATGGCCTCAGGTATTGCTGAGCTGCTCTACCTGTTGCTTCCCAACCAAACAGGTGTGGCAATCTCTGCCCAGAGTGAATATTTGAGACAGGTGGTGGATATGGGAAGGGGCAGACCTTGATGAAGCCAGGAGACCATGGCAAATCCTTTCCCAGAGGGTCCCTGGTGCCCCTTCCTTTCCAGAATCTCATTCTAATCTCTTCTTCTGTGGCCAGTTGACACATTATTTAAACTGAATTTAAACAGAATTTACCATTTTTTTTTTTTTTGGTTCTTGAACTTAGTTTCCATTTATTGAAAGAATAAATAAAAGTTGAAAAATTGTTTTACTAATTGTAGTTTCAGAAATTATGATAGACTGGAGCTTAGTTTATTGGGTTTAGTTCAGGCTACAGAGTGCTTTGCCCAACATTCTGTCTTAATGCAGTTGCTCCGGTTATAGATATTACTATATACAATTGATTAAAATAATAATTTTAAGCATTAACTACTACCTTAGAAAAAACTGATAGAGGGTTGCGGAGATAGTTCAGTGGTCCAAGTGCTTGCCTAGTTGAGCACAAGGACCCAGGTTTGATCCCTAGTACTACATGGTCTGTTGGCCCCACCCTGGGTGGACAAAGCTGGCCACCAAGACCGGGCATGGTGGTACATGCCTGTAACCCCAGAGCTAGGGAGGTTGAAACAGAGGATCATTAGGAGTCAGAACTGTGTTGTGAGACCCTGTACCAAATACACAAAAAATCAAAAAATGGAAAAAGAAATCTAATAGAAACCAGTAGTACAATCACCTTAGATGTCCTCTGTATATACTTACATGACTTCCCCCCCCTTCTTTCTTTCCTATCTTTTCTCTCTTCCCTCTTCTCATTTATTTATTCCTTATGTTTAGTTTCTTTCTCTTTTACTATATATATTCTTTTAGATTTTATTTATTATTGCAGGTTCTTACACTAGTGAGACGCTAAGATGTTTACACAGGTGGGTTTGATTTAATTCACTTATGAGTATAGCCTCTAACTCCATCCATTTACCTATAAAAGCTTCAAATTTATCTTTCTTCATAGCTGAGTACTACTCTGTTGTACAAAAATACCACATGTTTTTATCCATTCCTCAGTTGATGGGTATTTGGGTTGTTTCCAAGATTTAGCTATAACAAATTGTGCTGCTATAAATATGGGTGCACATATAACACTATAGTATGATGTTTTAGTTCTTCTGGAAAAATACACAGAAGGTGAATGGCTGTGTTGAATGGGACCTCTAATCCTAGTTTTTTGAGGAGTCTCCACATTGATTTTTCCAGAGAGGTTGTTCCAGTCTACACTCCCATCAACAGTGAAGAAGAGTTTCTTTTTCCTCATAGCCTCTCCAGCATTAATCATTAGTTGATTTTTTTATGATAGCCATTTTTTTTTCTGGAGTGAGATGGAATCTCAGTGCTGTTTTAATTTGCATTTCTCAAATGACAAGTGCTGTGGAACATTTTTTCATGTATTATTTGTTGTTTGGTTTTCTTCCTCTGAGAAGTGTATATTCATCTCAGATGCCCATTGTTTTGATTGGGTCTTTGAATTTTGGAGGCTTGATTTTCTTTTATTTCTTTATATATTCTAGATAAAAGTCTTTTGTCTGAGTGACTGTTGATTAAGATTTCTTCCCAATTTGTGGTTAACTTTTCACTGTTTTGATTTCCTTTGACATGCAGAAACTTCTGAATAAGATGAGATCTCAGTTGTTGATTCTTTGAAGTACTTCATGGGCAGTTTGGTTTTTGTTCATGAATTCTCTGCCTACCCCTATATTTCTTCCATTAGATCTAATGTTTCTGTTTAGGACATTAATCCACTTTGAATTTACTTTAGTGCATGGTGATAGACCTGGATCTAGTTTGAGTTTTCTGCATGTGGAAAGCCAGTTTTACCAGCACCATTTATTTATTTATTTATTTCAATTAGTATTTTTTAATTTTATTTTATTATTTTTTTCAAAACAAATTGGTAGGACAGTTTCAATAATTAACACAATGCATGCATTCTTCCTAGTGGTTAATTGTTGTACAAGATGTGGACATGATATCCTATCTACAAACACTATTAGAACAAATCCCTCTATTCATAAAGAGAATGCAACTATGTATCTATTCTAACCATTTTGAATACACAGATACAAAATGGACATTCCTCTCTATCCCCTTTTTTTGTTGACTTCCGTTATTTGAATATTATAGGTGTGTAAACTCAGCAAAATATTCTAAAAGAGTCCAGTAATCCATAATAGTATTGGGTCTTCCGCTTGACTGGCCATGTCAGAAATTGTTGACCTGAGTCTCCTACAGCTCAACAGCATGGTTTTACTTATATTTTGTTTTTATACTTTTCTGCTGGATGGTTAAGACCAAGGTAAAGCAGGACCTATGCAACAAAAGTTGTAGCTTTTGGGTGTGATAAGGTCAGTGAAATCGCCTCAGGACTTATCCTGAGATCCTGTACCTCAGATTGTAGAACCTTTGTCAGTGTCAGCCATGTGGATAAGTCACAGCCATTGCTTGGCCAATGTGCTCTCTATGAAAGCCTGAGAGAATGTTTTCTCTCCATGTGACTCTCCTTAGGCACACTCTACATCATCAATCACTTTCCTCTTTGTTCCCATAATTTCCTTGATCAGAAAATTTGGGACACTACCGAGTTACATGACATTACAGTACAAGTTCCCATATGTCCTGAGTCTTAATTGACCTTGGAAGGCTAGGGCCAAAATGTTGATTTTCCTTGCAGCCCTCCTTTTTCTCTAATTTTGGTCTGCAAACTTAGGTTGTTAACCATCCAGAAGACCAGCTTATTGTTATTACCATACAACTTAGGCTATTAAGCTTAACCTCACTATCTGCCTGTAAATCAAACATCTTAGGCATTAACAAGGAATAGGTATTTTTCATCAAGTATTGATATGTTGAACTTTAAGTCCCTACAGACTATGATGAAAAAACATTTAAGAATTAGAATATATTTTTAAAATAGGCATAACAAATTACAAAATCCTTATGTTTACACAAAAATCCAAAAATAAGTCCAAAAATCTGACCATATACAACCTTGAAGCAGGACAGTCCCACAACATTCCTTTTTCTGTCTCTTGTCTTCATTCACCACCCCCTTGTTTTTGAACAATCATCTACCCGAGAGACAGCACAGCAGTGACTGGCATATCATGACAAGCAGCCCGTATTCAGAAGGCTAGAATGACCGACACTCCAAGCATGAAACTACTGTTACAGATTACCATCCTCAGTGTAGTTTCTTATTTCACAGGTATCAGTATATATAGTTAGTCAGGGTAAGAATCTTTCCAATTAACTGCTAGATTCAAAAATCTTCTGGAGATTCTCAGAATCATTGCCTTGCTCATCTTCTACATATTCCTGTATGGCTTGTCACTGTCATGTTTCCTAGCTCTTCTCCTTTCCCTCTCTTAATTAGTTAGACCTCGAGTTCCTGCTTTCTATACTTGTATTATACTTTTCTATTTGTATTTCTTTTTTGAGTTCTTATACTAGGGAAACTACATGATATTTACTCATGTCTGTGTGTGGTTTATTTCACTTATGAGTATATCTTCAAGTAGCATCCACTTCAATATAAAGGCTTCAAATTTATCATTCTTTATAGCTGAATAATACTCCATTGTGTAAAAATGCCACATCTTTTTTAACCATTCCTCAGGTGATGGGCATCTTGGTTGTTTCCAAGACTTGGCTATCACAAATTGCACTGCTATGAACATAGACATACATATATCCCTATGATGTGATGCTTTTAGATCCTCCAGGAAAATTCCCAGTAGAGGAATAGCTGGTTTTAGTTGGATTTCCAGTTCAACTTTTCTAAGGAGTCTCCACACTTTTTTCCATAACGGTTGCACCAGTCTATATTCCTACCAGCAGTTGAGAAGGGTTCCTTTTCCCCCACAGCCTCTCCAACATTTGTTGCTGGTTGATTTCTTTTCTTTTTTATTATTTATTATTTTTATTAATTTTATTGAGAAACAAATAACAACGAGACAGTCTCAAGACTGATTAGTAAGACAGTTTCAATGATTAATACATGGCATATTGTTGTCTTCTTAGTAGTTACTCATAGTACAAGATGCAGACATGATATCCTGTCTAAACACTGTTAGTACAAATCTCTCTTCTCAATGAATTAAGAACAAGTAACTGTATATCTATCCTAACTATTTTGTATATACAGATACAAAATGGTCCTTCATTTATAGCACTTTTGTTTGATTAATTTTGTCAGAGATGGGTATTCCATTGCCATTTAAATATTTTAGGTGCATGAATTCAACAGAATAACACAATATAGTCCAGTAGTCCATAATAGTAGTAGGTTATCTGTAGGACTAGCAATGTCAGAAGTTGTTGG